CTGGGAGAGCTGCCTCACTTGAAACCTGTCTCTGGCCTGAAGCCCTGGGAGAGCTGCCTCACTTGAAACCTGTCTCTGGCCTGAAGCCCTGGGAGAGCCGTCTCACTGGAACCCTGTCTCCGGCCTGAAGCTCTGGGTGAGCTTAACCTGATAATCAGCCCTGGTGAGCCAAACTGAAGATTCCTATGTGGAGTTTACCTGAGGATTCCTAAGTGGAGTCAACCTGAAGATTTCCTATGTGGGTATCCCCTGCTGTTCTCTGTGAAGAGCTGGTAGCTCAGATCAAGGCCAGCCATGTTAAGTCTAAAGCTAGACGCTTTAGCTCCTTCTGAACTCTGCTAACCAACAGTCTCTGGTCCCTGTCAAGACTTCAGTAAACCAGCCTGAACCAGTTCCAGATCCAGTTCATAATTGTGTGTTTTTTGTGAAACCTCAATAAACTCTGAACTTTTTTCCAGCCTCCGTTGTGTTCTGTTCTCCGTTGACTCTTTGACCCATCATGACATATCTCTCCTCTGGTTCAGAGGAGAGATAGAGACCAAGTGATCAAGTGATCCACTCACTCTGCTCTGATTGGAGGCTTAAAGCCTCCAGCTGAATGGCTGATTAGGAGGTCAAAAGTTTTACATACAGGTCAATTAATGAGAGGCAGTTTATGGTTGATAAGATCTGACAGAGGTCTCATGATTTTTGTCCCCTCTGGGTCTGGTTGAGCCTTCTTTTTGGGACCATAGGTTAGATAGTTTCTGTCTTCTCTTCATTCGCCTGAGGAAAATTCGGGTTCCCATTCACTCACTGGTGTTCTGGACACGTTGACTCTGGGAAGTTTCACCTAGAAATAAAAATCTGTCCTAATATCAGCACCCACCTAAGATCTAGTGATACCTAGATCAATCTAGACCCATCACAGAGGATCTGTATGAACTGTATGTCATGGTGCGAAGTTTTATTCTATGCTATGTTTTTCATAAAGGGCAACCAGGAAATCATCAAGTCACATCAAAAGCCTGAGTTATAGGCTTCCCTACCCAAAGATGAGAAAAATACATAGCAAAGTGCAACACTGTTAATAGCTCAATATTTGCACAAATAATATGGTCAGTGAGAGGCTGTAAGATGCCAATGTGACAGCAGTACTAGAAGCAGACAGTGGTCTGTCTGTGTGACATGTCCAATGAATATGGTCGGGAAGAGCGGATGAAAAAGGCGCAACAGCCATGGTCAGGAAAAAAGGCAGAGCCGGCAGAATTTGTTAGTTCCATCTCTAACATTATGCTCTATCTACTTTATCTAATAGTAGCTTCATCTGGTCTATTCCTGTTTGGCTGTGACTCCATCCTGGAGAGAAAAAAGAGCTGTGCTGCTGCCATCAACACCTTTGTTTATAGATGTTGCAGCTTGGCCTGTTTTGCAGTGTGGTCCTGTTTCTCCTACTGTGACTAACTGTATTTTCTCTTTCAACTTCTGACATGGTAGCAGGCTTGGAGCTGGTCTGCCTGGTTGTGTGTTTTGTATCTCTGCTTCTTTCTCTATGTCTGCTTCTGTCTCCTTGAACCCCAGTCAGTCTCAGCAGATGGCTGCTCTAACTGAACCTATTTCTGCTGGAGGTTTCGTCCTCTTAAAAGGGAGCCTGAAGGATTGTTTTCTGAGTCAATCCGTCAATTGAGCAGTTTAACTGTATCATTTGCTTGAATTGTCTCTGTAAAGTGCCTTGAGATGACGTCTGTTGTGAATTGGCACTATAGAAATAAACTGAACTGAAGTAAGTAGACCAGTGACTGCACATTATTCTGTTCATATGAGACTGCCATTGGACCTTTAGATTATAGTACAATTAAATCAAGATTTTTTGAGTTAAAAATTATGAATGTTACAAAAAAAAAAGCTGTAAACCCAGCATATAGTGAGAACAGTTACTCAGTATGAAGGCCTGCTGGCTGTGATGTCATCATGAAGGTTCCAACATACAGATGTGCATTAAGGCTGCTGGTAGGGTGGGGCTGAATATGTTTTCTCAACACCTGTAGGAGGTGTTAAAGAAAAACTAAACGCATTAAATGGAAAACACACTTCCTCAACAATCAGTCCTCCACATACTGAGGACAGACTCTCTGAATGCTCCTATGGCTCTCTGCTGATCTGTTTCTTCTATTAGACGCTGTTTCTCTTGCAGGTGCTGTTGTTTCATCAGATTTTGGTCAATTTAACAGTCAGGTCTCTTGTTTGTATAATCAGCCATTATCTGTGCAGCTTACTGAATATTTTGCTATGGATTGCCTTCGAGTCAATGAGTCGATGCAATCAACTGGTTTTCTTTAGATAGAAAACTCTGAATCAGTTTGACTGTAAGATCTGGCTGAGTTGAATTAAAGTAGCTTGATGACATGTGTTGTAAATTGGAGCTCTAGAAATAAACTGAATTGAAGTCAATTGAATTATAAGTCCAACACTGACTGTTTAATTGCTAGTCAGGACTTATAATCCTTGTTAAGATGTGTGATTTTTTACAGGCTCCCACTTCTCTGGATGGAGAACCTAACGACTGGCGCTCCTCTTAAACAGCCGATCGTTTTTAAATTAGTGGGTTTTGATGTTCCACCAGGACAGGGCCCGTTCCTCTTCTTCTTGGCCCTGTTCGCCTACATAGTGGTGCTGCTGGGGAACGGTGTGGTGATCTGTGTGATCATGAAAGACAGGAACCTGCACAGACCCATGTTTGTGATGATCTGCCACCTGGTTGTCTGTGATCTGCTGGGGGCCACGGCGGTCCTTCCTCGCCTAATGATGCACTTCCTGATGGGGCAGCAGAAGATCTCCTACCTCCCAGCCATCGCTCAGGGATTCTGTGTGCACACATACGGTGTTGCTATGCAGACCATTCTGGGGGTGATGGCCTATGACAGGTGAGTTGGTGAACCAGGGCTTTCAGGAAATGAGCAACATCTCGAACCTTTACTGTTGTCCCAGTGTGGAAATGAGTGGAAATGTTCTGAAGTATTCCTGAGCATTTTGCTGCCACTCTTCCTTTGTTCTGATGTTTCCCTGCTGAAATGAATGTATTCCTTTTTGTCCTTCTGAAGCCTTTATGGTTTTACCTGGAAGGATGTCACGTCTTTGTACTTGTTTCATATTATAGTTTATTGATAAAAGAAGTACGAAACCTTTAATGTGTCCATCTGGAAGTGTTATCAGTCCCCCACCATAAATGCTTTAAAAGTACATTTGAATCCATTTGTGTCTGAGTGTTTCTCTGCCGGTGCCGTCTCTCTGCAGGTTTGTGGCGGTGTGTGAACCTCTCCGGTACCACTCCATCATGACTTCAACCCGGCTGCACTGCTGCTGCGCTCTGGCCTGGATCGTTGCCCTGCTGCTCATCGCCGTGCTCTTCTCCTTCCACATGAACGTCCCGCTGTGCGGCCGGGTCCTCCAACATGTCTACTGCAGCAATCGGATCATAATGAATCAGGCCTGCATTCCCACCCCAATTAGTAACATCTACGGTCAGTGCACATAAAGGTTTTGACACAAACTTTAGCTTAGGACATAGGTGAGTCCTCAAACCCAGATGAAGACCTTTAATCCTAAATGTCTCTGCAGTTGCTTTATGCTCTAGACCGTCTCTAAGAGGATGTTCATTTACCAACTCTGACCCTCTGTCTCTCTTTGCTTTATAGGTTTGTCCATGACTTGGTCTGTGAGCACAGGGATGTTCATCATCATCGCCTTCTCCTACGTCCGAATCCTCAGGACATCCTTTAAGCAAGGAAGAACCGACAGCAGCATCAGAACCAAGGCCTTCCAGACCTGCACTTCACACCTTGTCGTTTACGTCTTTTATGAAATAGCTACACTGATCATAATCGTTAGCTACAGATTTCCATCTGCTTCTCAAAACATGAAGAAGTTTCTCAGCATCCTGTTCATCATCGTCCCGCCAGCAATCAACCCCATCATCTACGGGCTGGTCAGTAAGGAGCTACGGGCCGGCATAATTAGACAGTTTGCCCCCAGAACCTCCCATAAAAACTGACCCTATAATGCAGAAAAGATGATGTTGATGATGTAATGCTGTATAAATCTGCTATTTTTCTACTAATGATCCATAAAAACTTTCGACCCAGCTCACTCCAGTTGTTCTGGGCTTCTAGTTTAAATCTGAAGCATTTTAAAAAAAGTGCTTCTATGTTGAAGCACATAGAAAATGTGAGAGCTGCCCCTGACCCTGCCTGTACCCCAACTACACAATCCCACACCAAACCCACCTGCTGTAACATCCAGCTTCTGTTGAAAAATCATCTGTTGTGCATAAAGTTTAGATAATTTCCTCAGCTTCCTTTCTAACAGGAGGCTTCCAGACCTGCAGCTGAAACTGTGTGTTTAACCTTTCAGTCACAGAAACCTCCTTAATAAATCTGTTCTCTTCAGCTGGACTGTTTTCCTTCACTTATATCACTTCTTTTTGCTGTACAGTCAATTGTAGTTTGAAAAATATGCTCAATTTATTACAATTTAATCATCATAATGCGGAGTTTTTCCTAAAAGGGAGTAGATAAGCTGTTTTATACACACTTTGATTGATTTTGCACAAAGATTATGTTTTGCCTCCAAGATGCAAAGTGGAATCACTTCTGTTAAGTTCAATAAAATTTGTCCCATAGTTGGACCACCTGCACCATCTATACATCCTTAAGCCAATTATAGCATGAAACAAAATCCTGACCTAAATAACATTTAGCTGCCTAAAGCAAATTGCCTTTTGCTCCATTCATACTCACCTTTGTTGTTAATTTCCATATGTATTCATTGTATTTTTCCTCTAATCTTTTTCCTCAGTTAATTTGTATTTAATGTTGTGACCTTTGTTGGGATCCATTTCAGGTCTTACGTTGATTCTGGTTCCAGCCTGAATAATTGTCTCTTTGGATAATCACAAACCTCCAATGCATTCACTGATGTACACCTTTTTCTCTTTTGCCCTGTTTACCTAAAACCTGCTACTGGAACACAAGACCTGGTCCTCAAAGATCGCACATGTAATTGTATAAGTACCTGCAATAAGTTGATGTGTTGCAGTTGAGCTACATAGATCAATGCATAAGTTTCACCTGCTAACATCAGCAGAGAGCAGATGAAGTTCTAAACTATAGAAACAAAGAGAAAAAGGTGAAAATCATTCAGAAAATATAATTTGTATTTCTAAATAATATTTATAAAACATCTTACATTGGTTACCTGTCTCTAAGTGCTTCAAACAAAATTAGTAACCTAAAATGGTAACACTAACAAAATGTATGTGTAAAAAATTAAATATCATGAAACTTTGTCCCAAAGTTTTTGCTCTAAAGACCTCTGAATCGTTTACATGTCAGATTTTCTCTGACTTCCAGAAGTAAAAAAAAAAAACGTGGTCCCGGTTTAGTTTCCCTATGGTCATAAATTCTGGTCAAATGTATTTTGTATAATAATAAGTATATTTGTCTATATAAAATAGATTATATTTGCAAAGCATGATTAAACAAGTCACAGATTCGTCACTCAAAATCCTAATTCTTTCTTTCTTATATAATCTTTATATAAGTTACTTTTTTCAGATACAAAGCAAACGTCTTTGTGTAAAACTCTGTGCTTCAACTTTTTTACTTGCGTGTCACTTTTCATTTTCAAGCTTAAACTGTGACGCCTTTAATTATGATTTCAACCTGATTGGTCAATGTCATGTCAATCATATAACAGTCCAATCAGAGAATAGATGAGTTTTATTACACATGTTGCTTTGAGCTGCTGCAGATCCTGGAAGCATCACGGCTGATGGCACCACCAGCTCTGGCTCAGGTAGACCTAACTTCTTGTCATAAACGGGACAGATGGACGCAGTATTAAATGTCACACAGGCAGTAGGAAAGTTTGAAATGTTTATTAACAAAAAAAAAAACATAACAGAAAAGTTGCAGAGTAAAGCAGGTTCCTACCAAACAAGAGCAGACCCCCCCAGAGTGGCCCAGACGCAGCAACCTCAATGAGCAGGCAGGAATCCGACCAAAGTCAGGGAAACAGATCAAACAGTAACAGTTCTGGAATCCAGGAGTCCGCAGCATGGTCAGGGTTCCGATCCACACAGGAACAGACAGATCAAAGGTTTCAGGAATCCACTGAGCGTGAAGACAGGTTCAAAGTTCCATGCGTTGAGCAACAAGCTGAGACATAATCGCATGGATGCAGACAAGCAGGCTGGTTTAGGGACACAAAAAAAGACATGGTCCCGAGATTACTGCAGAACTTTAAACTGGTCTCCACCTAGGAGCCAGGACATGATCAGGAGACAAGACAAGACAAACACTAAAAACCTCTCAACCTAAACAACCTAACTAAAACTAACAGAACAAACATACAACATAAAATTTTCTTTCCCTGATAGCTGGACTGAGTCAGATATAAAGCAACAGACGCAGGAGGATGAGATGAGTTAAGCAGGTGAATGAAGTGAACAAGTATGATCAGCTATCAGGGCAGATCATGACAGGACATCAGGTAAATACTTACTCATATGGTGGCAAGTGAAGTCTGGGATGTCCGATGGATCCCAGTCTGAAATTGCAAAAAAAAAAAGCTGGCAGGCTATTTATGGGGAACCTGCTCTGATAAGAGAACCTTTTCATTAGTAGATTTAACTGCCATCTAAATGTTCAACATATGTAGACATTGTTGGGTTAGAGCTTCAGCTTCTAGCTGTAATATTACAGCACATGCAGGCGGTATGAGGCCATCTAGCATGGTGGCAAAAACAGACAGTGGACCGTGCATCTTCTATATCTGACCTTTATTTTTTTTAAATACATATTCAGTTGTGAAATACTGGTAAATATATGTGTTTCAGTTGTGGTATCCTGAAAGTATGTGTCTTCTGTATTTTGTAGCAGAACATTCAAATAGGTGAGCGTTAGATACAGTGGTTCAGTATTTTATACAGAACCTTTCATAATGTAGATGTTTTTTTGATACTGTCTTAGTGCCTTGATCTATTTTCGTCCAACTAGAGAACCGTGAGATTTCTGAGGCTTTTCTCTGTATGTTACTGGTTATATGTTAAGTTACCGACACTAAGTTTGTAGGCTAAAATTCTCAGTAAAGGTCACTTGTGTGTCTAAAGATTAGAACAAGCTAATTGTTAAACATCATTAGGTTCAAATAGAAAAGCTGATNCAACCTCAATGAGCAGGCAGGAATCCGACCAAAGTCAGGGAAACAGATCAAACAGTAACAGTTCTGGAATCCAGGAGTCCGCAGCATGGTCAGGGGTTCCGATCCACACAGGAACAGACAGATCTAAGGTTTCAAGAATCCACTGAGCGTGAAGACAGGTTCAAAGTTCCATGTATTGAGCAACAAGCTGAGAAAGAATAGCATGGATGCAGACAAGCAGGCTGGTTTAGGGACACAGAAAAAGACATGGTCTCGGGATTACTGCAGAACTTTAAACTGGTCTCCACCTAGGAGCCAGGACATGATCAGGAGAGAGGAGAAGACAAACACTAAAAACCTCTCAACCCACTGGCCCCTGGGAATGGAGATACAAACCGTGGACTAACTAAAACTAACAGAACAAACATACAACATACAATTTTCTTTCCCTGATAGCTGGACTGAGTCAGATATAAAGCAACAGACGCAGGAGGATGAGATGAGTTAAGCAGGTGAATGAAGTGAACAGTTAAGATCAGCTATCAGGGCAGATCATGACAGGAGATCAGGTAAATACTTATTCATATGGTGGCAAGTGAAGTCTGGGATGTCCGATGGATCCCAGTCTAAAACTTAACACTCAAAGTCCCAAAGTGCAGACTTTAGTCTGCATCTAGTTTGTATCGAGTGTCCCCCCAAAGGTGTTAACGGCTCTCCTCTGGTGGAGTGAGCGCCATTTGCAAATCAAATGCAAACATAAGAATGTGGTTTGGTGACTTCAGCTGGTGTACTGGGGTGTCCTTGTTTGAGCTGCCTCCCTTTGTGTTGTAAAGGAGCTTTTTCAAGGAGTTGAGTAATTTACAGAATTTCTGTGGGGAGAAATAGAGCAGGCACAGCACACAGACTCAGAATTCACCCGGAATTCACCATGGCACAACCAAGGCGACCAAGAAGGATGAACGCTCAGGAGGCTTTAGCCATGCTTCAGAGCATGTCAGACTACGAATCTGATGGTGGATCTGTTGGAGACTTAGTATTTCAGAATGAAAACAGCGCAACCATCAAGTGAAGAGGATGATTCTGATGAGAATGCGACTGCTTTTGCACCAGCAAATCCTCCCCTCCAAAGACGCACCAGGGGCCGAGTGGTCAATTATATGATTGAGCGGGACAGTTCAAACACTAAGGCTACGTCAGATAAAGAGGAAGACACAGTGCGCGGGGGGTGGGGGGTGGGGCAGAAATCATATTTGTAATAAAATATAACTAGGTCTACGTCATCAGTGTCGCCAACACCGGAATGATTTCAGACAGCGGGGCCACCAGCGCAGTGATCAGACGATAACTGATCTGTACAATGAAAATATCTCCATCAGCTGACAAGAATATTTATACAACAATGACCATCTGCCCTATTTACTAGAGGGCAAACAAGCAAACATCATCCGCTCGCGATTTCCAGCAGAAAGCCGGTTTTGCACTGGAAACCGGTTTCAAGCTCAAATTCCAATCTGGCGGCAGGGGGAAATGTAAAGGTTGTGGGTGGGAAGTCTAGCTCCCAGAATAAATAGGCCCAACAGATCGACTCAGAGTTATTGAGATTTCAAGCTTGGCTTGGCTTGGTGTACAAGCTTGGCTGCAACAGACGAGCATGTGTTGTACAAGCCATGCACAGGGACCAAATAGAGTCCACCAAAGTTAAGTCTGCTACTTGCCAATTAACTTCGTAACATTTTTATGCAAGAAAAGGCAATAAAGGAAGAACACATGAGACAGCATTGTGAGATGAAGAGACTAGGGCTGTTCCTTGTGTGACATAAATGTTACTCCAATACTAAAGGCATACTGTTTGTCATTCTCTAAGATTAAATTTTGAATGACATAAAAAGGCGAGACAAGACAAAATACAATTATTTTCTTTCTTTCATATAGTGAGCTTTGCAATATAAATGAGTCTGTTGGTGAATGGACAATAGAAATTGGTTCTGCCTTGCCTTGTTGGAAAATCATGGTTATGACCTTTTCTCAGCTCAGGAAAAAGGACCCGTATGATATCTGGTTGTTCAATAGGTTTGCCTAAATTAAAGACTTAGATATGAATTATAAATTTATTCCTGGAAAAAGGTCTGATGTTGCAGGGCCAGGTACTGAAAAGTGCTTGGAACATGGTCTTGATGCCAGTTTGTTTCAGCCTTTATCCAGTCTCAAGTAGAAGGGCTGGTCATATCACAGGTTATTTGCATTACAACAAGGACAGTTAGCAAGGTAGAGTGAATACACAAACTTGCAGAGGGGAGGGGGGCTTGCAGGAAAACTGAAATTCTCCGGGACATCTAGTGATATGGATTTATTGTCAAGCATCTCGTCCATAACGAACACCATGTTCAAGCATAAGGGTGTCCATATGTGCACTTGGCACCAGGAAACCCTAGGCCGC